TGTATTGTTCATTTTGATGACATATTTTGTAACATCAGATGCCTTACAAGTCCATTGATGCAGATTGTGTATACATTTTCACACGTATGACCAATTCTTGTGTAGATTGTCATGATACCCATTTTAATCATGAACATTTCTTATGTAGATGAAGGCATTTGACCCTACACGTGGTAGGGGCAGAGGTAGGGATAGTTCCTCTTTACGTACATATAGACGAGGGGCCATTAAAGGTTGAGGGCAGGACCACACGTCATTATCTTCACATCTGCAAACACCATCACCAGATGCACAACCAATACCATCGGCAATCCATAAGACACCAGATCTATTTGTAGCTTCTACTGAAGAAGAAAATGAGGTTATCTGACTAACTATGCACATATTCTATATTTTAATTCCATTAAATTTGTGTTCAAATATAATATTGGCAATATTATTGACTTTTTCTCTTATTTTTATTAAACAGGTTCACACTTCGTCCCCACCAGAGGCTCCATACTATGGCCCACCTCCGCCTGTCATCCAGGATCTTGTTCCACGGTGGGGGGAGATTGATCCTGTGGACAATCGTATATGGGTACAATCGACCATCGATGGCAGCAAGTAAGTACAACAGTTCTTAATGCTAGTTGTGCTATTTTTTCAATACATCTTGATGTAAGTGTTGATAACAATTTAAATGCACTGGTCAATATAATCACATGACAATGTATTTCAGCTTTAAACCATATGATGTAGTGCGTAAAATAACAAAAATAATCAAGCGCAACTATGACGGTCCATGGCCTACATATAAGGCAGTGCCGACAGATATCAGGAATAACTTGTTCAACAAATTGATGGTAATGTTGCCCTTCAAACCTGACCATATTAATATTTATGTATGATTCAAGGTTTTTCAAGTTAATGTTGATATTTTTACTAAGCTATCTTATTATCATGTTTAATCCTTGTAAGAAAAATATAAATGCTTGCCGGATGACCAATATCTTTTTGATAAAGCATACAAGACCAAAGCCACTGACATAATTAAAAATCACATGAATTTGATAAGAAATGGAAAGTGCAATACGTCTTGGATGAATCAAAATGTACTTGATAGTTTGAAGGTTCATTGGTCTGATGAAAAATGGAAGAAAATGGTTGAAGCAAATAAGAGGAACATGTCCAAATTTGAGGGACCTTCACATTCTGGAAGTTCAATTCCATTTACTGAGCATGCAAGTCGGTTGGTAAGAGTACTTATAATTGCATATGTATGTAGTAATTAAAATGGTAAGCCTTTTTTTATACTTAGCATATTATGTTCCTATTGTTTTATGTTTTATATCACGCAACATGCAGATGAGGTCACAGATCCTTCCGTCATGGATTGGGCTGTGTTCAAGCATACACACACTTCTAAAGATGATCGTGACAGGTAGTGCAATGACAAGGCAAAGGCCATATCTGCGAGTATTATTGATTTTTACAATATTATATTAATTTCAAAAGATGATTAGTTTTAGTGCACTTGGCTTTAATACATCAATACTTTCTATATAAATTTTAGGATGGCTTTACGAGACTGAGGGAAGAGAAAGATAGTCGGGTCACTCCAGTAGAGGATGCTAGTAGTTCTGCCTCGGAAAAAGAATTAATCTTGTAGGCAGCTGGTGGGGTTAACCGTAAAGGATGGGTATACGATTTAGGTACACAGGCAGGAGCATATAAGCCATCTCGGTTCTCCAGCAGGCTACCACTTGGAGTGTCCCAGCAAGAGCATGACAAGATGCACACATTGATTATGCAGTTATATGGTACAGTTGCACAACAAGAGGAGAGGGCTGCACAAGAAGATAAAAGGGTTGAGCAACAAGATAGTCTCATGGCTATGATGCAGAGGCGAATGGAAAAAAATAGAGAAGCTTATTCGAAGGCTTCCTGAGGAATTATTAGATACTGAGGATGACAACGAGACTCAGCCCTTGTCTCAGGACCTGGATGATGACCATGATCATGCAGGTCATCCACCAGCATGACTTTTGTATCTTGTTTGGATGTATATGACATTACTATTGTACATAGACTCTTTTGAATAACATATGACAGAGACTTTTGTATATGTATGTCCCTTTTGATTAGTATATATAAGACTCTTTTGATTAGTATATGAGGAGACTTTTGCATATGTATGTCTCTTTTGATTAGTATATGTCTTGGACATTTATACATATAAGACTCTTTTGATTAGTATATCGCAGGGACTTTTGTATATGTATGTCCCTTTTGATTAATATATGTCTTGGACATTTATACATATAAGACTCTTTTGATTAATATATGACACAGACTTTTGTATATATAAGACTCTTTTCATTAGTGTATAACATGAACTTTTGTACAAATAATTATATTAAGATAATATGATTTTGATATGTTATTTACTTTCATTATATTTATTTATCAGGTGCAAAACATAAATTGGTATTAATTTTGTAGAGAGAAATTAAATAAAAAATATTTCGATGGAAAAGCAATTTTGTCGAAAATTGAGGCAATAGTTTTCGATGGAATTTCATTCATTTTCCGTTGAAAATTTTCGGCGAAATTTATTTTTCGTTAAAAATTATTACAAGATTTTCTGACGTAATTTTATTCATTTTCCTTCAAAAAAATTCGACGGAATTTCATTCATTTTTTCGTCGAAAATTTTCGACGAAATTTGTTTTTCGTAAAAAATAATTACAAGATTTTCCGACGGAATTTCATTCATTTTCTGTAAAAAAAATTTAATGGAATTATTTTTCCGTAAAAAATTAGTACAAGATTTTTCAATGGAATTTCAGTCATTTTTTGTCGAAATTTTTCAATGAAATTATTTTTCCGTTGAAATTTTTCGACGCAATCTCTAATTCCGTCGAAAAAGTTGTTACCCACGAAGAGATATTCGACAACTTCATTTTCATCGATAATTCCATTGAAAACTTCATTTTCAATAGAATTTTAATTATTTTCGACGAAATTTTTCCGTCGAAAAAAAAACATTTTTTAGCAGTGGCTATTCCCAGGCTTTATGATGTTTAACCTCTCTTTAATTATACCAAGATAACAAAGAATGTTATAAGTTTGGAAAAATACATTAAAGAAAACTGGAAACATTGATATGCACACATTTAATTACTTCTTCATTAATTTCCTAAAAATATTTAAGGACTTGGGGAATGTTATAGCTTTATTAATTATTCGTCATTACTTGAACTAAGTTAATCGGATAATTAATGAACTGTTAAATATATCTATTAAAAATATTTAATATTAGTACAATTTCGTACATTTGTTTAAAGATTTGATGTAGTCTGAGTTATTTGCTGTAAACAATTATAAATATTTGTGTTTAGCTACTTTTCTCTTATTTCTCATATATTAATTTGCTTAAGCTTTGTTTTTGATATTGCAAACGAATTTTCTCAAAAAAGAAAAAGAAAAATTGAGATGATAAACTCACGGTTTAAAAAAAAAAATTTCATTTAATTGCTTTTGCAAAATCTTTTCATATTACGGTTAAGAAAAGTTGCAGTAACATGTATCCTTCAATAAAAGTTTTCAAGACACCTTGTGCAGTTGTATTAAGTGAGTTCAAGTTTTATTGTCACTTGTATTCTCAGACTTGAGGAAAGTCATACTTAGTCCATTAAATATCTGTTTGGGGAACTTGCTAAACTATAATTCTTTATATTTCAAAAAGAAAAATTTTTAGTTTTTGAAAAAAATATTTGACTTTTACTTTTCTTATAAGTTAAAATTTCTAGCTTCTGAAAAAAAAAAAATTAGTTTTTTTTGTGATTTATATTTTTTTTTAAAAGCAAACATCTAAATGAGCTAAAAACAAAAAGTAATTTTTTTTTTTTAAAAAAAACAACTTTTGAATAAAAAAAAAGGTCAAGCAAACCTATTGTCTACATTTACAAATGTCTAGAGATAGAGTGAAGGGAACTAGGGAAGATTTGAGAAAAATTGATCCGTGTACGTTGGGGTGTAAATGGGCCAGGCTGGCCCAGCCCGGCCTACATTGAGCCCAGCCCAGATCCGACCTTTCAGAAAAGTAGAGTAGACTTAAGCTTATAAAAAAACTTTTTTAATAAATAGACTATAGGCCTATTTTGTCAAGCCCGGCCTACAGCCTTGTAGGCTGGCCTATTTAATTTATTAAAATAAAATAATAAAATAATATTTATTTTATGTGGCAAAGACACAAAGTACCAAATATTAATATCTCTTACTTTTTGTGCTATTTTATTTTATGAAAGGAAAACTTGTCTAATGTCTCCAAATTTTACATGCTGTTGCAGCTTAATAACATGGAGCAATGAGTACCTTGCTGGATTATGATGTTACTGATGAAGATCTTTCAATAATACTCTTCTTTCCCTTGTCTTGACAGTGGTTTAAGAATTTTTAGATGAATGGTATTCTATTGTAGATTTTATTTCAGCATCTAGTAATTGTATTTTTCTTATTTTTCCCATTTCTTTGACTCTATTCCTCTATGATATACATGCTAGAACTGAGGTATTATATTGACTCTTTCTTGTTTGACATTTCTTTCTTATGAGAAGTACTAGTGTATGCATGAATGAAACTTTTTTTTCTCTATACAAATTTTTTTTTTTGTTTAGTATATATAGTGGGAGGCTTACAAGGCCTGTAGGCATGTCAGACTTTCTTATTTTTGAAAATTGGCCGGGCTTGGCCTATAAATAAAATCTTTAATAGGCCATTAGGTCAGATAGACTGAATTTTTTTTTGACGTAAGCTTGGACCATGATGGCCAAAACCTAGCCTATTTACACCCCTACGTATACCACAATACTGACTAAAACGCGTTACCAGATCAAGCTCTGAAATTTGAACGAATTTCACAGCCTTTCATCAATATTCATGTGGCCATCACTGCATTTATTTATGTTTTGTCATATCCCTTTTTTCCTTTTGACTCTTTCCCGATTCTTTCCGTCTTGTAAAGTGTAAACGCAAAGTTGTAGTTGCCACTACACGCGGCGGCTATCGTCAATGTTCAACATGTGCACACTTTAAAGACACCGTTTCCATAACAACCTCACCCTGCAAACCATTTCTACCTTGCAACCTATATCACAATGCCCACTTCTCTAAAATTTTCACTTCTCTTGACTATGCTGTTTATTCTAGGTAACACCGTGAAAGGCAAGAATCAGTGCACAGATAACTGTGGAAGCGTTCATATTCAATTTCCATTTTATCTCAGAAATAGCAAGTTGAATCACACAACCGGTTATCCTACTGGGTTTGATCTATCATGTACTGATAAATACGAGACAGTGCTGGAGATACCTACTGTTCCGGTAAAATTGTTTGTCAAAGACATAGATTACAAATCCCAACAAATTGAAATCTATAACCCTCAAAGTTGTCTTTCTAGTCAGCTTTTAACACTTGGAAACTCATCAATTTCTCCATTCCAATTCCAATCATCTGGCCTGCGTAATGTTTCCTTCTTCCATTGCAGCAATTCAATGTCCTGCCCTATTTTGCAACTTGGATCTGACGATGACTTCATTGATCCTGAGATAATATCTTGCACCAAGGTCAGTGATGTTCTTTCCGTCGATTGGCAGTTGAGTGATGATTCCAAGAACACTTTGTTTATGGAATGGTTTAATCCAAACTGTAGTTACTGTGAAGCACGAGGGCAGAAATGTAAATGGAAGAATGGTACCAAAGGTGAAACTGAATGTTTCATTTGCCGAACAAACACACTTCCAACATCAACTGTTGTACTAATTTCCGCAGGTATGGAAAACATCCTTGCCTGTCGTTTTTCTTTCTGTTCTGTTTGTTATTTTGTCTGACAGAAGAAAAATGAACAGGGGCAATAATTGGGTCAATGCTTTTGCTGCTATTGGTCATTGCATTGTTTCGCGTTTATCGCTATTATAAGATGAAGGGAGAAGACCAGACTAGGATTGAAAGATTCTTGGAGGATTATAGGGCAATGAAGCCTACGAGATTCACTTATGCTGATATTAAGAGAATCACAAATGGTTTTAAGGAAAGCTTAGGGGAAGGAGCTCATGGAGCAGTTTTCAAAGGCATGCTTTCGCAAGAGATTCTTGTTGCTGTGAAGATACTCAATGACACACAGGTAGATGGGAAGGATTTCATAAATGAAGTTGGAACCATGGGAAAAATTCATCATGTCAATGTTGTTCGCTTGCTTGGATTCTGTGCTGATGGTTTCCACCGTGCTCTTGTCTATGATTTCTTTCCCAATGGTTCTCTGCAGAATTTCTTAGCTCCACCAGATAACAAGGATGTTTTCCTTGGTTGGGTGAAGTTGCAACAAATTGCTGTTGGTGTTGCCAAAGGACTTGAGTATCTCCACCTAGGTTGTGATCATAGAATACTTCACTTTGACATCAATCCCCACAATGTGCTACTAGACGACCACTTTTCTCCTAAAATTACTGATTTTGGACTTGCCAAGTTGTGTCCCAAAAATCAGAGCACTGTATCTATGACTGCAGCTAGAGGAACCTTGGGCTACATTGCCCCTGAAGTTTTCTCAAGAAACTTTGGTAATGTGTCTTATAAGTCTGACATATACAGCTATGGAATGTTGCTGCTGGAGATGGTTGGAGGAAGAAAGAATACAAATGTATCGGCCGAGGAAACCTTCCAAGTTCTATATCCGGAATGGATCCATAATTTGCTTGAAAGCAGAGACGTACAAGTTGATATTGAGGATGAGGGAGATGTTAAAATTGCAAAGAAACTTGCCATTGTGGGACTTTGGTGCATTCAGTGGAACCCAGTGGACCGTCCATCCATCAAAACTGTGGTACAAATGCTTGAAGGGGAGGGAGACAAGCTAATGGCACCTCCTACTCCTTTTGATTCTACTGGTTCTGCTAGAACAAATGCTGTTATTCCTGCAAGACATCTGAATTTCGAGTTGGAAGTTATTCCTGAAATACAGTAAATGAGATCACTTTTAGATTCATCAAATTTAATCTATGCTTTATGGAAGTTCTAAGATCGATGCCAGCACTATTAGTCCATTACCCATATAAGCTTATCAATGTACTTGTATTTTTCTTAAATGCTTCTAGGATCATACTTGTGAATTTTAGTTTTGAGTTCAGGTCTGAATAGGAGACCGCTTATTTAATCGAATTAGTGCCGAGTTGCAGCATGAAATTCTTTCTTCCTCTGATTCCAGTTGTTGTAATTGTGTTTGTTAAATATCAGGACCCGAGAGGTTGTGAGTAATCCATGTGTCTTGACTACACAGCGGAGAGTCTACAATATAACTGAAAAAAAGGAAGTATAAAGAGATATACATGATGTGAGACTAGTAAACTACTATTCTAAACTAATATTCACAACACTTCCTTTCAAGCTGGAGCATATAGATCATATGCACCAAGCTTGTTACATAAGTGATCTATCCTAGGCCCCCTCAAAGACTTTGTGAATACATCAGCTAATTGATCAGTTGAGTTAACAAAACTAGTGACTATTTCTCCTGAGAGGACTTTTTCTCTGACAAAATGATAGTCTACTTCAATGTGCTTGGTCCTTTCATGAAACACTGGATTGGAAGCAATATGTAAAGCAACTTGATTATCACAAATGGGAGATGCTGAGTCAATGTCTCCAAACTTGAGTTCCTTTAGTAGTCGTTTTAACCAGATGAGTTCACAGGTGGCTGTGGCCATGGAGCGATATTCTGCTTCAGCACTTGATCTGGCAAGTACACTTTGTTTCTTGCTTTTCCATGAAACCAAGTTACCTCCAACGAATACATAATACCCAGATGTGGATCTTCTATTGTAACACCCCGTTCTAGAACCGGTTTGTTAACATCGCATTATGATATTAAGCGCAGTTACAATCACATTGGCTCAATTAAAAATCCGGATGAATTTTTCTTTTTAAAACGACGCCGAATTTAAAATATCCAATTGCGTGATCATAACCATATTACCTTGCGGAATCAGATAAACCAAGCTTAACATCATGTTCTCATTCCATTTTTAAACCATTAATTTACTTCTTATTTATTTCACAACTTCTACTATATTTTAGATCTCTTCTTTAGCTACGCGTGGGTTCAAATCGCGCTCAAATCCCGGCGCGACCGGCGCCAGCTGTGGCGCGGCGGGCGCCAACGAAACAGAAGCTCTCGATCCATATGGCGCTGGAGACGCCAAGGTTGGCGCCAGGTGCGCCAGCTGGTGATCCCGGCGCGATTTGCGCCAACGCCGGCGCGATTTGCGCTACGAAACAGAAGCTCCGAAGCACTATGGCGCGCGGTGCGCCAAGTTTGGCGCCAGGTGCGCCAAAGCTCTGAAGGTTTCACCAATTCTTAGTATTTTACCTCTAACTAGAGTTGTACTTGTCCAATTTACACAACATTGGTCTCTATGGAAAGCTAAGAAAAATATCTACAACTTCCATACATACACCACGGTCCAAATCTATCATATAAATTCCTCTCCATAAATGGTCCTTAGTTCTTGCATAATACAAACACATCTAAAGGGACATGCATGCCCTTTTCCTCATGGCTTGTACTAAAATTTGGGCAGCATAACCTTTGTTTTCTCAACAATTCCCAACTTAGCACAAGGTACCTAATTGACTTTCCAGCTCAACATGTCCAATACATAAAATACATTCATGCATTTAACTTACAGTAAGCATCATACACAAATATCTTCATTACTTACAATATTACATCATGTCTTAATTACAAATCTCATATACATGCCAAAGGACTTAACTACAAAAGGAACATGATCAAAGCAAGTAACCATGTATCAGATACCCATTACTACTACAATGATCATGCACTAAGTCCTCCAAAATACATCATGTGGCATCAAAATATACATATAGCAATGCTAAATGGCATGCAACTCAACATGTCCAGCTATCAGGTACAATCTACTCATGCTTCTTGCCTCGATCAACCTCACCTCTATCAGTACCTGAAATGATGCCCCATAACACGGGGTTAGATATACGAATATATCACAGTAAACCAGAGGTCCTTGGAGATCACTCCACCCTAAGGTTCACTTTCGATATACACATAATCATAATAGCTTAACACATTCTTATCCACAAGCATCACATGGACTTCCAAGAGAGATCCACTAAGGGTTGTTTCTCTTAGGCTCTTACCACATGGAGATCCACATAGGGCTGTTTCCAAGGGAAGTCCTTTCCTCAATCTATTCCAAGAGAGATCCTCAAAGGGCTGTTTCTCTTAGGCTCTTACCACATGGAGATCCACCTAGGGCTGTTTCCAAGGGAAGTCCTTTCCTCAATCTAGGAACCTCCAAGAGGGATCCACATAGGGCTGTTCCTCTTAGGCTCTAACCACATGGAGATCCACATAGGGCTGTTTCCAAGGGAAGTCCCTACCAATCATCCTCATCATAATACTATCACTCACAACCTCAATCACAATCCTCAACCATTACCTCATTCATTATTGCTACTTCTATAACCATTCCTCAATTACTCTTAAACAATCAAACATCAACCAATAATCATCAATCAATCATAACATGTATCAATGCATGAATCAATGCATGAGCATACAATTACTATCATAATTACATATCACATCTCATAAACCATTTCTACTCAATGGAGTATGGTGGAACACTCAATGGGATCAACCCCAAGGTTCAAAGGTTTACCTTTCTCTTGAGCTTTCCTCAATTGCACACAACCCCAAGGGTTGGTCACACCACTTGGTCCTCTTGCCTCAATCCTATCAACACAAGGAATACAATCAAACAATGCTAACAATGCAAGGAAATCCATAGTTCCAAGCCTAGATTTCTCCAAACATCAAAGCATACTAAAATAACACTATAAACTCATTTCTACCGATTAAATGTCATTCCTAGCATTTTTCACAACATACTCTAAGCCTCATTCTTCCTTGAACATAGCCAATCTACTCAACATTTCATAAAAACCCTAAAACACTATTCATAAACCCTAACTCATGCAATTTTCCATGAAAATAAGGTTCAAGGGGTAGAATCTTACCACCAATGGTTGCACAACCAAGCAAGGAGCGTTCCTCAAGCTCCCATGGAGGTAGAAATTCCCAAAACCCCAAAATCTCACAAAGGGCCGAATTTTTGAGAGGCAATATCTCTCTCCACAATGTTCCCTACTCAAAACTAAGCTAGGATTATGAAAGAGGGCGAGATTCTAAGCGATTTAGGCTTTTGAATCACTCAAAACGGTCAAGGTTTCCTCCCTCCTCTCTCTCTTCTTCTCCCTCCCTTTCTTCTTCTTCTTCTTCTTCTTCTTCTCCTCTGTTTGCTCGACGGGTTGGGTGGGAAAATGGGGCTCTTTTAGTAGCTTTGGTCACTTAACTTATGTTAAGTGGCTTATGTGGGTATTGGTTCATCTATCTATTCAACTACATTAATTACCAAACTTTACCCAAAAGTCTGGAATACTATTCTAGGAATATTTTCATTTTTATTTTTATATTTTGGGCACTTTTGCCTGTACCCATTTATACCCCTTAATTTCCACTGAGTACACTTTTTAACTCCAAGTGACTCAGATTCATTTAATTAAGCCTTATACTTAATTTTACTCACTAAAACATGCTTAATTATTTAATTAAAATTAATCAATTAAATGCTTAAGTTTGGGGTATTATATTCACCCACCTTTTTAACGATTTTGTCCTCAAAATCGACAAAACCACTCATTCAATCATCTATGGATGTATCGGAGAACTCTTCTTGTGTTCCCGAAGTTACCCTATTAATCAGTTCCTCTTTTCCTCATCATCTTATCATAAGATGGAATGTTTCATTCATGATTCAATCTATGTTTTATAATTAGGTGATACTAATATGTTCAAGCACTTTTATCTTTCATTTTCCTCAAGGGTCATACCTATTCACTTGATATTTAACCCTGACCTTCTGCGGTCCTACTAATAACCTCATACATAAAATCTCATCTGATGGAACTTCCAAGAGAGATCCGCTATGGGCTGTTTCTCTTAGGTATCTGACCACAAGGAGGTCCCGAAGGCTAACTCCAAGGGAAGTTCTCCTCAAACTAGACCTTTAATGAGAATTCTCTATCTCATAGGATACTATCCTCATGGAGGTAATACTACCACTTCCATGGAAAGGTCATTGCACACAACTTATCATCTTTTAGCAATCTATGCATAGCTCAGTCTTTAATCACTAGACATAACCAATCACACAATCATAATTGAGTCCACAATTTAGGCATGTGTGTCT